CCTGCAGGGCTCACAGAGAAATTGGTGCGTTTGGACTAGAAATATCCAATTAGTGGGGCTACTTTTTCATCCCTTGATTGCTTTTGCTTTTTTTCATGTATTAATAGTCTACTAATTATTCATGTTATCATGTTTACATGTGCATTTTATAATCCACTTCAGGCATCCGTGCCATCATTTGAGGATGAGCGGAAAATGGAAAATATCCAAAGTCACCCACCACACATGCGCACACATCTACCTCTAGCGAGCTAACCACCTGTTTGTGCAACTTTATTTCTAGGACTTGGAAATTGGGGTTTCCCCAGACCTGATATCGTGGCTGTTTTAGGCTTGGCAACACATCTTCCTTCTTGCCTTAATTTAAACTCAGTGCAGTTTCCAGTCCGTCCGGTATTCCCTGCCACGTTCCTTTACTGTTCATTCTACGCGGCAATGTGTTCAAAACTCAGCACTCGGGAACTCAAGTCATTGGGACTTAGTGCCCCAGTTGCTGCAGTGATTAATTCACCACTTGACAAAGCCAATTGAACTGTGCCCAACACTCCCTCTTTCTCATCCTGAGGGCAGAAGCCTCTTGTTCCATGCTTTCCACATTGTCTGGACTGAGTACAGCTATGCTCCAATGCCACAGAAGAGTAAGATTTCTGAAGAACCCGAACTCCTCATGTTGTGGGTTCCCAGGAATTGTCAGGCTGACGGGGAGTGGGGTATGGCATTGAGATGCCCAGTTATTGCACAGTTCCATCTCAGACATCTTCATTGTGGGCCAGCCTTCTTCGTCTGGGCTAGCCGCACCGTCTGTGGAGTTTATGGCAAGTGGGGCAGAGAGAAGCTTCTGTCTGCTGCGCCTTTTGCTTCTTGCTGGGGCCACGCAGTGTATGGGATGGCTCAGAGCAACTGCTCACATTTAGCCACGTGGCCGTGAGAAAGTGGTTACGATGTCAGGCTTTTGTATATCTGTCCTTGAGGGACAGCGGCTCTGTGAGCCAGAGATTGTACTGTGCTCATTTGCAATAAAGGAAATTGTGCTCCAAATAACAACACAAGCATGTTTTGTGTGGGTCAAGTGATTATCCACTTGGCAAGTGTGCCAGGAGCAGCCATAGAGGTTACCTGCTGCCTGGTGCGCACACAAGCACCAAGAATGCATAAACAGATTCCCTGCAGGGCACTGGTGGCTCACACCTGTCACCCTAGTTACTCAAGAGGCTGAGATCTGAGGATCATGATTTGAAGCCAGCCTGGGCAGGAAAGCCCATGAAAGTCTTATTTCCAATTGACCACCAGAAAACGAGAAGTGGAAATGTGGCTCAAAGTGGTAGAGCTCTAGTCTTGAGCAAAAGAAGCTCAGGGACAGCACTCAGGCCTGGAGTCCCAACTCCACGACCCACAAAATAAATAAATGAGCAGACACCCTTTACTATGATGTGTGAAAAGCTCTGCGATGGAGATGCAGATCTGATCTGGATCGCCAAGTGGAACCCGTGGCTCTGTGCGCCAGGCAGTGCTTGGTATTGGTACCATGGCTGCCGCCAGCAGGCAGTTCCTCTCTGGGCACCTGTCGTGATGACTGATGACTCCAGCCCTTGCTGTAAGGGGCAGTGTGCCCGTGTGCCGCAGCGAAGCAGGGCCTGCATAGGTTCATGCTACTATTTGTCATGAAAGTCCCCAAGGAAATTAACAAGGGAAAATACACATGAAAATGGAACAGCTTTAGGGTCACTACTCTTGGTCCAATACCTGCTTTGGGTCCTGCATCGCACTGATTCGCTGGGGGTCGCCCTTTCCATTTTGAGGGCTGGAGATTCCTTAGCATTATTTAAAACTGTTTGGGTCCATTCTATCTTCTCCACAAACTCAAACTAAACACTGTGGGAATCACTGTTTCTTTCAACTGCCTTAAAGCAAGTCTGATGATCTCACATTGCTCTTTTCAATATAAACTATGGATCATCTTTAATATAGGAACAAAGGTTTACTTCAAGCTTACGCCTCTATTTTCTATATTTGCACATAATTTTGGTAAGCTCTGGAAAAATTCATTTTAACAGATGATCATATCCAGATTTAATGAGGAATCTCTTTCAATGCCAAAGGAGAACTCCTGTGATCCATGCCTAGAATTCTTAGATAAAGAAAACTATGCTGTTTAAGAAGTTAAAGAAAATATCTAGGCACAGTTGCTCATATCTGTAATCCCAGCTATTTAGGATGGAGAATAGGAAGGTCGCTATTAGAGGCCAGCCTGGGCAAAAGTTTTTAAGACCCCAGCTCAACCAACAAAAAGCATGTAGCACATACCACATACCAGCTATGTGCCAAGTTAAATAGGAAGGTCTCAGTCCAGGACAGCCTGGACATAATGGGAGACTGTATTTAAAAAATAATGTAAGTATGAAGGCCGTAGATATAGCTGAAGTGGTAGAGTGCCTGCCGTAGAAGAAGCACAAAGCCCTGAGTTCAAGATCCAGTACTATGAGGGGAAAAAAGGAAATGAAAGGAAGAGTTGTTCTGAAGTTTCTGGAACCCCCAGTACCTGTTGCTTCCTTCGGGCTAGATTTTCTCTGACCTTTAACATTCAGACGATGAATTTTGTCTTGTTGGAGAAGAGAAGAGATAGTGCCTGTCTGGTATACAGCAGGCCCTTCGCGGCTGAGTGAATGATTAAACGTAGAGCTGATCAGTTATTCCCAGTACTTGGGTACCCTTAATCCATCTAAGATCCCTTCCTAAAGAACCAAACCCCAGTCTCTCTCCCACAGAAGACACAGAAACACCAGAACAGTTCGTACTTCATTCACTGGTGGAATTTTCCAGAGGAACTGGAAACAAAGTCTCAAGTGAAGATATTCTGTATTTTGATATTAGGATGGGCCTATTAGAGATAAATGTTTTCAGCCAGGAAAAAAAGCATCAGGAGGAAACCATGCATGTGTAGGAAGGCAGCAGTGGAAATGGACAGGGTCTACTCCATGGGAACTCAGTTATTATTTTTAAAAGTCCTTCATCCTGGCAGCACATGGAGGACCCTGTTTGGGCATGCATCAGACAGGGCTGTGTATCCCCAGGCCCAGAGCAGGGCCTTGGTCCTGTGCAGCCCTGGGTAGAACCTCTATCCACACCTGGCCACTGCCCTCTTCTGTTTCAATACTGAGCTTCCTCCATGGATCTCAAACCACTGGCAAATGATCCTGGAGAAGGAGCTGGCGTTCCAGATGCTAAAGCAAAACAAAACCAAACTTCCCAGGCCCATCCCACTTCAGCTCTGTCTCGCTCGGAGAGTGTCCTCTCGCTTCACAAGGCTTTAACCTCCTCAGACTCGAAGGTCAAGTCTATAGCTCTGTGGTTCCATGGATCGACCACAGAACGTTGATTCACCCTTGGAGTACAATTCAAACTTTAACCTTGGGATAGAAATCTGCAGACATAGTGAAATCCAGACATATGAATGGCCACAGATCCCCAAGAGAATGAAAATGATTAATGTGAGATAGATCTCCAGAGGCGTTTTCAGAGATCCATTGTAGAAGTGGACCCGCTCTGCCATGGTGGTCCAGGGGCGCCGTCTGAGGGCTACAGGGCCGGGTGTGCACTAAGGATCTGTGTGTTAACCACTTCACAAGGCCTCTACATATGTCTTTGCTTTCTTGTTATAGTTGGTTTCTTAGGAGGTCTGATCTCATCTTGCCCTATAGCTTTCAAATACTACTTTTTTTTTTTGGTCGATTCTGGGGCTTGAACCGTGGGCCTGGGCACTGTGCCTCAGCTCTATAGCTCAAGGACAGTGCTCTACCACTTCAGCCACAGTGCCGCTTCCAGTTTTCTGCCCGGGTTGGCTTTGAACTGCAATCCTCAGATCTCAGCCTCCTCAGTAGCTAGGATGACAGAGGTGAGCTACAGGCACCCAGCTCCAATATTACTTAAGGTTTTCTTTACTTTTTGTCTCTTTCTATCAAGATTTACTTGTCTTGCTCTAAACCGCAATGGCTGCTTCACTAATAATAACACTGGTGGTTGCCCCGGTCAGGAGCTAGACCCTCCCTGCATCTGTCCAGCTGTTCTCCTGTTACCTTCTGGGGTCCTCACTCTGCTGGGTGCTGCTCTGATGCTGCCTCCTTCAGCTTGGACCCCACCCCTCCCTCCTGCCTACATCTCAACTTGAACTACCCTGAGCCTTTGGAGCTCCAGATGTGTGATTGGCCACAGATAGGTGAAATCCAGCCCCCGGATTTCGCTCTGCATTTTTAAGGGGAGCGTCATTTGAGACAGAACCTTGTTAAGGTAGTGAGTGGCCCCAGGGCCAGCACTCAGCATCTGTCCACCAGACCTGTCACTGTCACACAATGAGAGCCCACAGCTTCTCCTTGAAGGGGTTCCGTCAGCTGACACTGAGGGAGTTCACCCCTGGCAGCATTAGAAGGTGCTGGCTGAGGACACAGAATCCAGACGAAGACATCTGTGCCCCTCAGCATCTCATCCCCAACTTGCATGTGCTCAGTGCTTCTTCTGAGGGTGCCAGGCTGTACCACTTAGTCTGCACAGGCAGACAGGGCACGAGCAGCAGGGGTTCATTTCTCGGGGTTCTGAAGGCTGGAAATCTAAGGTCAAGGGACTAGCAAGATCTGTGGCTGAGGAGAGGCTCTTACAAGTGACTGAGAGATGAGATGAGATGAGATAGAAAGGAGCAGAGAGAGAGAGAGAGAGCAGGGACTCTGTTCTCTTCTCATAAGGGTTCTAACCCCACATGGAACACCCCCCCCCCGCCTCCACATCTAACCCTGTCTCCCTCCCCAAGCTGTGTCTTCCAATACCACCCATCACACTTAGGAGTTCATCCCTATGCATTCATATGGACAGATCATGCACTGTACTCACGCCCTGGTGCACCTCTCTCTCTTCTTCCTTCCCCTCTCTCTTCTTCCATGTTCTCGTGAGACCACTGGGCTGTGCTCATTGGCTGCCATAGTTAACGGAAGAATCTGTGTTGTCCCCCTCAGGAGCTCCCCCGATGAATGCAGCGTGGCCAAAGGTGGGAAGATGGTGGGCAGTCCGGACGCAGTGGGGATGAGCTACGGCAGCTACATGGAGGAAAAGCACATGGCACCCCCTAACATGACCACGAATGAGCGCCGGGTGATCGTACCAGCAGGTCAGTTGCACACGGGCTCCTCTCCTGTTCCCAGAGAGCATCCCCGAAGGGTGGCCTGGGTGTCACAGTCCTGAGCTCTGCCCCACCCACCTGAGATCCTGGTCACCCCTCTGGGGCCAGCCCGGCGGTCACAGAGTTCATCCGCGTGGGGTGAGCATTCACTCATCTCCCTGAATGAGAAAAATAAGGACAAATGCACATACACCCGTGTGCATTCGATTTTCAGAACATCTGGGAGAGCAGTGCACGGCTGTCAACTCTGTTTTGACTGAGAAGAATAAATACACATTAAATAAATATTAAATGGAGAGAGGGAAGAGAGAAAATGTTCAGGTAAACACATACACAGTCATGCATGCACACACAAATACACATATATACACGCTATACACATGCACACACACATATACAATGGTCTATGAGCAGTGTCTACAATGGTCTATGAGCAGTGTCTTTTTCATGGGGGAAATTCTCTTCCTCTGAGATTATTTCTGTCATGCCGTCCATACACTTTGATGTCACCAGAGTCCTTTGGATAAATTGCACAAGCTATGTAACACTTGACTTTTGAACCAGGGTGTTGGGATGTAGCCCATAGAAAGTTGGGGAATACGCACACCTGTGTGCAAGGTACATCTCCCTCCCATCTCATTTGCCATTCGAGTCTTTCTGTAGTCCATGTGTATTATTCATCTAGCCTAAAGTGGATTCTGCTTATGTACAGCCTCACAGAGTGCACCTTGCCTCATAAAGTACGTAGAACAAAAGATCTGAAATTTACAGGAATGAGGCAAAGAACCAATTGAGTCAAGCCAGAGGCCGCTCACTCTTGCGCATGTGGGCTGCAGTCAGTGCGGATTGGAGATGGCTGAGTGCATGGGTGTGAGCCAGGCCCATGCAGGCAGCCAGACCTCTCTCTCCTGTGTCCTCCTTCTGTTGCTTCACGCCATGCAGGCAGTTATTCAGTTAGTCATGTTGCCAAGAGAGCTGGTTGTGGCTGATTGTGCAAGTTGTTCATCTTTCAGTTATTGGCCAAGCTTCAGGTGTGTGTTCACACACACACACACATTACACAATCAGGTGGTGCCATCAGCTGCCATGTGTGTGTCTCTTCAGCTCTAGCATGAAGACCCCTGCTCCCCAGCTATGCGTGCTTGGCACATGCACACGTGCACACACACACTGCACAAATACAGGATTCTCTGAGTGTTCCCAGAGCTCCTGTTCATTAGACACAGATTATAAAACAGCTGAATGAAATTAAATCAAACCATGAAGTTTTCCATAGCAGTTGCTCTGTCTGTGTATCCGTGAACCATGCCCTGGGCATCTGAATGGCCCAGATACAGTAAAGACGAACATACAGATGGAGAGGAGAAGAAACAGAGCAGTGGGGCAGTGTCTGGGTCAGAATACTTGGAAGTCCGTTAGTTTCAAAGCACGGTTGCATCAGCCTTGGTTTTGAGACTGTCATCTTGGATTCAGGATGCCTTGCTTTCATAAATACTGCCTTGTTGGTTGGCAACTCCTTTGTACAGCTACTTAAAGATAATTTTTTAAAAACCATAAGAGACCCGTAAACTGTACCTAATGAATGAATGAATGTGTCAGTGTCCACATGTATGTATGCAAGCATGTCTGGGCCAACATGCATGTGTGCACACACACATGCATGTGTATGTGTGTATGCATGTATGTATGCATACTTGCCTGTAGCACTTTGGTTTATTTACTGCCTCTGATTTCAGAATGAATTTAAAGGAAGTCCACACAAATATACATGAATGAGAAAGGAAGGATCGTGAGAAAGGCAGAGTCTACTTTAGAATAGATGAGTAGTTGCATGGATGACAGTAAGACTTGAATGGCACTGAGACTGGAGGGAGATACCCTTGCACACAGGTGTGTGTATTCCCCAACTTGCTGTGGGCTACACCCCAATACACTGGTCCAAAATTCACTGTATTGTAAGGGGACATTTCACTTATTACCCCCAACCTGGTGACCATTTCAGTGCTGTGCAGGCCACGTTAACATGTCAGAGCGCTGACATGAGCTGACAGCAGAGCCCTGTCCTGTAACACTATTTTATAATGGAGTATTAGGCAGCTCATGCAGTTTATCCAATGCTGCCTTGCACTGACAGTAGACATGATGCTTGTTCCGTGTCACCTGTCCCAGAACACAGCAGCCCCTCACTTCCAACTGGAGTCCGTTCTGAACTCCATTGTGACCATTGATGTGAAGAATACCAGGCCTATGTCTGGTTTGGTCGATTCTTGCCCAGAGCCACCTTTGCCTTGGTAGTGCTCAGGACTCCATCTTTCACATTTCCCGCTCTGCCTAGAATGCAGCCATGTTTAGAAACCATGGGAGCCCATCTCACGATGGCGGTAGAACATTCTACACAACCTAAGTGTCTTGGAGTGTCACAAATGCCTGCCCTCAGGGCAGTGTTCTTGTGATGGGCGTGCCTCTGTGCTTGCTGGAAGCTTCTGGAATCTCTTGTGGCTTTTGAGCTCTTGCCAGTGTGCTGGTGGCCATGCTCACTAAGCAGGCTCACAAAGAGGAAGGCATAATTCATCTACCTTTCTTAAAAGTTGCATCATGCCGATCAAATGCAACCAGATCTCGGGGTGAGCAGCTAGTACCATTTAGTGTCTCATTCCTCAAAATGAACACTGAAGTGTCAAGCTTTCCAGACAGCTCTTTCTTTCTGCACGCGTACTTTTTATTTTCAAGACAGCCCACTCTGAACACAGCTCCCTGTGCGCACCCTCCTGTGAGGGGCCCCCATTCATCTCTCCACATGCTTCTTCCCCAGCCACTCACTGAATTCTTTTACTATATCCCGGTTGCCAGGAATAAAACCTCCTCTGACCTGCGGTCTTGCTTTCTCTGCCTCCCAGTGCTCATGGCTGAACCTTTTTGAATTGGATCTTATGCAACTCCTCTGAGCTGGGTCCCTTCTACTCAGTCCATGAAGTGTCCATGGAGCATTGGTTACCAGATGTCTCTCGCCTAGGAGATGACCAGGCCTGGCAGAGGTAGATCAGATCCTCTGCAGGAACTATGGAATTAGTGACAACTGGACAGTGCATGATTAAGAGCTCAAAACTGAGCAACTCAAACCCATATTCCAGAATATCTGAGGGAGGTGGTCATAGAGACAGGATGGCTCACGAAGAGCTTCATTTATGTCCGCCATGCTCTGGTGTCTCAGTCCCTTGGCACCCTCCCATTTTCCTCTGTTGTGTCCTGTCCTGTGGGTCCATCAAATCACATGGCTGTGCTCCTGTCCTTCACGTCCACAGCCCAGGGTCTTCATCATGCTGTCCCTGCAGCCAGACAGCCTGCTTCCTTCCTTGCCCACAGGTTCTGCTCATTCTTCAAGATATCTTTGAGATTCACCTGATCTACAATGACACTTAATTAATCCTCTGGCAGATTAATCTCTTCTCTTGAGACAAGTTACGATTTCTTTCTTTATACTTTATTTTCTTTCATGTTCTATTTTCTGAAGCATCCGCCTGTTTCATTAGGGAGAGATACTCCATTTCACTTCCCAGAGGAATCGAGATGCCTTATGAATTCAGCTACTAACATCCATGTGACCCAAACTACAGATCAGATACAGATCAGCACGCAAAAGCTGTTGAAAATACATATGGACACCCAAGGGCGTGTGAAGAAAGAATTAGGTCATTTTGACCACAGGTGTACCCACAAGGCTGGATTAAGTTTCTGTGATAGCATAGAGCTTCCTGGCATCCAAGATAAAAAGAAGGTTCAGGGAAAATAATTTGAAAACAAGTTTTTATAGGGAAGGCAATATTGCTCTCAGAATTGTAACAGCAAGACCCCTGGGCTTTCTAGACCCCTGGGCTTCTTATGACATCCAATAAGAGCACAGACTGAGTTACATTAGAGAACCACTCAGACAGACAGACAGAGCACTGGTGCATTACTTTGGTGCTGTGGTTTCGCATAAAGAGGGGAATCTGAATTCTCAGAATAAAGGGGACTGTAGCTCTCCATGATCCCGCGGTGCTTGAATCCGGTGACCCGTCATTTACTCTTGCTTTTCTCATCACCCTCTATTATTCACCAGCTTTTAGTGATTCTTAACTTTTTTTTAAACTCTTATAACCCACTTGGAAGTCAGCAGGTCCTTTAGAGCAATACTTATAAATGAAGAAGAGAGGATCGTCAGAATACAAAGAAACAGCGAGAATTCCAATGAATTGCGTGACTTGAGCATAAAAAATGGTATGTTCAACAAAGGCAGAAGTTGGTTGTTTAACTGACCCTCACTTTGGAAATGACACAAGACTTAATAAACAAGGGGAAAAAATGTGTCCTAGAAGGAAGTGAGTTGTAAGTAGGAAACCAGAGCAATGAAGTTGGTTACGGTGAGGATCGCACAAAAGAAAAATGGCTGCAAAATGACAGCACAGCTGCCTAATGGGGAATCAAAAATAATGTAGAATGGAAGCTTTAGACATTGTATCATGTAAGAGTCAAGGGGGACAACTAGAAGCGAAGCTTCATACACTCATAGTGTTTCTTGGAAAAAGGATACATTTACCGATTAAGCTAGATTTCATTTAAAGATTAATGAGTGAAGAGTGAGAATAGAAACAAGAAGGAAGAAATAAGAGGATGGAAAAGATGCAGATAGTAAACGTTGTAACTAACTGGGAAAAAGAGGGACTGAATAAAAAATGAAATCAATTCAGATGGAAAGAAATGCCAAAGAAAAGCAGGCAGAGAAAAGTGGCCACAGGAAATACACAACAAGGAGGTTGGCATCAGACCAGGAACAATAATATGAATGGAACAAATCTGCTGCATAAGTGACAGACTAAAATAATCAACCCAAATCAGTTGTATACTGTTGACAAAAAACATCTCACAAAAAAGATAAACAACTAACTGTGGAATGAACCATCTTAAAAAATCTAACTGAATAAAGCTGACAGAAATAAAAATAAGTATGCAAAACAGAGTTTTCATGCAGGAAACATTACAAGAGTAAACAAGGATATCACAAAAGGACAAAGGCTAAATTCATGAAAAATGGATAACGATGAAAGACTTAAATACACCTAATGATACAGTCTTGGAACAACACAGACAACTTCAAAAGGACACAAACAGGTCAGTTTTAGTGGGAATTTTTGATTTTCCTTTCTCAGTAATAAGTACATCAACAGCATTAACAGGTTTTGGTGGTATGGTTATTTTCTAGAACTCCGAATCTAACAATTAGGAAATACTCCCATTGTTTTAAGCACACAAGGGACATTTACAAACATTGATCATGGACTATACCCCTCTCCAAAGTAACAAATCCAGCATTTAAAATATCAATGCCTATAGATCTCATTCCTTCTTCTAAGTGCCAAAAAAATTAGAAGACAAAAACAAAACAGTACTTATAATGGTAGCTACTTATGATGCTGAGATCTGAAGATTGCAGTTCAAAGCCAGCCAGGGCAGGAAAGTTTATGAGACTTATTCCAGCTAGCCACCAGAAAGTTGGAAGTGGACCTGCAGCTCAAGTGGTAGAAAGTCAGCCTTGAGTGAAAAAAAATGAAGGGACAACACTCAGGCTCTGAGTTCCAGCCCCAATACCAATACCCATTTACACACAAAAACAAAAAACAAGACAAAACAAAACAAAAACACAATAAAACAGAACCAAGACAGCCAATGAGCACCACCTATCCATTAAAACTTCGAAAGGTTTTGGAACAGCTTTGAAGTCAGCTTTTTCTTTGGAGTTACATTTCAATTTGTGGGGTGAAGATTTGGCAAAGTCCTAGCCAGCCCTTCCTGTGGGGCCTGCTTTGAAACCCTGAGTTCTGTCATTAGGGGACTGAAATTACGTCTTATTTTTGTAGGCTTAGAGAATGCTGGGTGTAGAGCAGCCAGTGTGTTTGATAAAGCCTCTGTGGGTCGGTGATAGGAATGAGGAGGGCCTTTGTCTTTATGTTGTTTTACTGTATTTTTTAATGCTCGTCTTATAACTTAGGGTGACTTTTCTCTCGGGAAGGCGCAATGCACATTACTATCACTCAAGAACAGTGACACTCAGGACTCACCTTCTCACCCCTCTGACTCTTGTTTTATCTTGTTCCCGTTCCTCTCTCTGGCGGGGCTTCTGCAGTTGGAGGGGGCCCTGTGTGAGGGCCTGTGGTTCGAGAAGGCGCAGGCTGCTTGGCACAGCCGTGCCCCTCTGCCGGATTTCAATATCTACTTAATATTTTCCTGGCAGCAGTGGGAGCCAACCATGTCACAGTCCTGACTCATGGAAATATAAAATATCTTTTAACCCCCTTCCCACTTGCTGCTTGAACCCTCTCTCCCACCCCACCCATAGAGTGTAAAAATGTGTACCTTTGGGGCTGGGTGTGGTGGTTGATGCTGGTAATTCCAGCCTGGAAAGGTATAGGAAGGAGGATCAAAGTCCACTGCTAGCCTGAGCAAAAGTGAGAGACTCTGTCTGAAAAACAAGTAAAGAATAAAAAGAGGCTGAGATCATGGCTGAAGTGGGTAGGGAGCACAAGGCCCTCATTCTAAACCCCTGTGTGGCTAAATCAGTTTACAAGTGCAACTCTAGAGCTCTGTTCGATGATGTGCTTTGATTTCTTTTTAAAAATTCCAGTCAACCAAAGAGAATTCATAAAGCTCCTGGATATCCACCATGCCTTGGACCTTAACCCAAAATACTAATAAGAGGGTCTCCTCTCCTTCTGGACCACTGGGCGTTACCATTTTGTTGTCCACAAAACATAGAGGCAAAGACACAAATGTTTCCACAACGGGATGAGAGGGTTGAACACACAGCTCACCCTTGGTGAGTCTGTGAATCCTTTGAGGCACATGAAAGACTCTGTAAAGCAGTGATGCATCTTCTGCCCTTTGTGCTTACAGGGAGGTGATCTTGGTGACTAAATTCATTTCAGCAGAGATTGTAACACAACGTGCATAGCACTGACACCTTAGTTTTCTTCAGCGTTACTGCTGGCAATGCTCCCGCATACGTTATCCCAGGGCTCTGTGACTCCCTGCAGTCCCTTTAATTACCCACAAAAAATAAACAAAGCTAATCTGAGAAATGAGCCTGTATGGCCAATAAATGGTAGAATCGGAAGCCAAATATGTGCATTCTGACCTCCCAGAAGGCTTTCTGTTTTGTTTTTTTTTATTGAGTTTTCTGTGCTTGGTGTTATTTAAGACATATTTATGTGTGTATTGGTGGGTAGGGGAGGTACTGGGGCTTGAACCCATGGCTTGCACTCTCCCTTAGCATTTTAACTGAAGGTGGATGCTCCATCACTTGAGCCATACCTCCACTTCCGACTTCTTCTGGGTTAAATGAAAATAAGAATCTCTTAGATTTATTTGCCCAGGCAAGCCTGGAATCTTAATCTTCTTCAGATCTCAGCCTCCTGAGTAGCTAGGATTATAGATGTGAGCCATTGGCACCTGGCAAGATGGTTTTTGATTCCTTGGTCATGTCTAGTGACTCTGAAGTTCCTATATTATAAAATGTAAACTTTTAAGCAAGGTGCTCAAGACCGTCCCGGACCTGATGCTAGCTTTCATCTCCATCCTCCTCCTCACCTCTCACCCCTCCTCCCTCCTCCCTCCTTCCTTCTCTCTCCTCCCTTCTCCCTTGTGGCTGGGCTTCCTCCGAACCCTCCACTACCACTGCTTCAAATTCCTCCCTGGCAAACAACCACCACCACCACCACTACCACCAACTCCCTGGCAGCAGCAGCTCTGAGCGTCTCCGCTGTGGTCTTCATCCTTGCTTCGGGTCCTGCTGGCTGGTGAGCTTGCCCTCCTGCATTCGGCCAGGAGGGCACACAGCAAGAAGGTTCTTAACCAGACCCAAGGCTGGCGCCTTCACTTTGGATGTCCCAGCCTGCAGACCTGGGACAAATGAAATGTTCTCCTTTAGAAACTAAAGATAAAGAGGAAAACTCCTCTCTCTAGTCCCCGAGACAGCAGACGGAATTTTCCTTTTCATACTAATAAATATATTGTAGCAATGTAACAGTTTCTGAAAAATTACAAGAATATTACTAAACGTACCACGACTTCACTGGTTCTCTTTTTGCTGGAGATTTAGGGTATTTCCAGTGTTTTGCTTTTATAAACAACCCTGCAGAGAACATTCCTGAAGATGCATCATGAAGGTGCACATCCTGTATTATTTTCCTAGGAAATGTGTATTATTTATTTATTTTTGGTGGTCTGGTCCTGGGGTTTGTACTCAGGGCCTTGTGCTCAGTGGGCAGGGGCTGGCCTGCCTGAGCTCTGCCTTCAGTTCCTTTATGTTGCTGGTTATTTTCAAGGTAGGATCTGCCTTGGTTGGGTCTGGGTTGTGATCCTCCTATTTGCATTTCTCCATATTGCCAGAAAGGACAGGTGTGTACTACTGTATCCAACCATTGGTTGACAGGGAGCCTTATAATTTTTTTTTCCTTTTTGCCCAGGTTGACTATAAACTATGATCTTCTGGTCTCAGTCTTCCAAGTAGCCAGGATTACAGGCTTGAGCCCCTACAGCCAGCTAGTTTAGATGTGGAAATTCTTGTTGCTGCTGTTATTACTTGAGCCTAGGTCTGATGATGTTATCCAGGCTGGCTTCTAACAACAGATCTCCTGCCTCAGCCTTCCTAGTAGCTGCAACCATCTCTCCCATCTAACCATGCACACTTTTAAAAAATGTATATAATAGATATTTATTTACATATATAAAAATTCATGTCACTTTGCATAATATTTTTAGACTTTAAAAAGTATTTGAGATATTTGGTTCATCAGGAAGGTTGTCGTGATTAATACTGGTACCAGCAGTAATTAAGAATAGACTTTGACTAGCCACAGGTGAGACCTGGCTGGGGACAGGCCCCAGGGCCCTGGCACGTGACTTACTTAAAGGAAACATGAGTGAGTTGAGTGAGTTGTGATAGCCTTTGGCTTCACAAAGGAAATTAGGGAGTGTTCTAGAGACCACACTTCTCTCTCTCAGGCAGTCTTCCCAAGTGTCGCTTCTCCATTTATCCTGGAGCTGGTGACCTTCAGGCAGGATGTTTATTCCTAACTTTGAGATTATCTGGTTCCACCCTTAAGAGAAGAAAATTCCTGTTACCCCTGCTATGCAGGAAGTAGAGGTGGGAGGTGGTGATTCAAAGCTACACTGAGAAAAAGGGAGAGACTCAATCTAAGAGAAGGGAGAGAGAGAGAGAGAAAGAGAATGGGAAGGAGAAACAGTAAAAGCAGAGCAGAGAAAGAACATTGACTCTCAGAAAGAAAACAACTATTCCTATGAAGTACTTCTACAGAAGTAAAATCCCACACAGAAGCAAACTGAGACAACCGTAGAAAGAATCCCACATAGCCTTCCCATGTTGTCAAAAGCAAGACCAGACACCAGCAAGGGTGGCGGACCCTTCCACAGACGACCTGGGTGGGTGGTGCAGGCAGGGTCTTGTCACCCTGAGGATAAAGTGGCGTTGAATTCGGGGGGGTCTAAAGACACCCTGGTGTGCCATTGCAGAAGAGGAGGGGAAGAACGGGCGATGTTGGCTCAGGGTTTTCCTCCATTTCAGATCCTACCCTGTGGAGCACAGACCACGTGCGGCAGTGGCTGGAGTGGGCGGTGAAAGAGTATGGCCTTCCAGACGTAGACGTCTTGCTGTTCCAGAATATTGACGGCAAGGAGCTGTGCAAGATGACCAAGGATGACTTCCAGAGGCTCACCCCGAGCTACAACGCCGACATCCTTCTCTCCCATCTCCACTACCTCAGAGAGAGTAAGCCGCCCCTCTCCCCCGCCCCAGTCATGCCGGTTGCCATGGTTCCTGTTGCCATGGCTTCAGACCAGGTGGTCCACGGCATCCTCCTGACCTTGCCCAGTGTCTGCGAGGATGCCACACTGAGATGCCACAGGGCGCCATGCAAACCTGGCCGGGTTACACAGGCAGCACCGACAAGAAGAGCACAAGTCACCCTAGCGCTCAGCTGCTCCTGCAGGGCATGTGGGACCCACTGGGGGGTGGGGGAAGGGGTAGAGAAAGCAAGCTTCACCTGGTCCCACACTCCCTAGTCTCTGTGATGCCCCTCATTAAAACAAAAAGGAACAAGAGACTCGTAGCCACACAATGAGAAACACAGGCTTTACTGGTGCCGAAAGCTAAACCAGCCCCTGCATCCCCTTTTCCTGTCTACCTAAGCTTGAACAGAGGGAGGATTTTCACTCTGTCTTCAAAGGGCTGGGCTAACCTGGCAGGATGGGAAAGCGACACTGGCGATCGGAGACCTGAACCAGGGATTCTGCTGAAGGCTCCAGTTCTCACAAGGGTCCAGCATGGCCATGGGGAACAGGAAACGTGCCGGCTGGGGTGCGATGAATTTCCTTCATCGCTTTGCCAGGCACCCCAACCGACGCTCCCTGAGAAAGATGATCTATCTGTTCAGGGTTTAACACACTAACACGCAGGGCGGTGATGTAGGTTTGTCAGAAGCCTGTGATGTTAGGTCGGGTCAGGGTGTTTTCCTTTCTCCCTTTCTTTCCTTTCTTCTTCTTTTTTTTTCTTTCTTCTTTATCATTTGGATGTTGCCTTTTGTTTTGTTTTGTAGCTCCTCTTCCACATTTGACTTCTGATGATGTTGACAAAGCCTTACAAAACTCTCCACGGTTAATGCATGCTAGAAACACAGGTAATGCTGGCCCCACCCTGCCCTGGGATGAGTGTAGAGTCCTGTCTGCAGGTGCATGCTTTAAGGTAAAACTCGGGACAGGTGAGAGCATCGGAAGGCAGAAGGCAGAAGTGGAAAGAAGGCAGATGGGTCGTTTAGGCTAAAGGAAGTGAAGCCTTTTAGCATCTGAGCTTTTCCTGTCACCCCTCCTCCACCCTCCTCCGTCCATCAAAGGATTTCCTTTAACTAGAAGACGTGCAGAATTAGCTACCACTTTTGCTCACCTTGGCTGGATTTCAATCTCTTGCTATTACTGTTAATCCCAATACAATGGCTTTAGAGACTTAAAACAACTCTAGTCTAAAGAAAGGGGCCCTGAGCAACCTCCATTTTTTTTGGTTTGTTTTTATTTCCATTTTTATTCCCAAAGGAATGTCAACCAGGACAAGCTAGATTGAATTTTTTCCCCTTTCTGATGCTATTTTTAGGCCATGGGATTTCATTTAAACAGGCACACTCTTAAAGTACCTGCCATGGGTGCTGGGAGGGGGTGGCTGTTCTTGTCAGTTTTTTCCTAGAGGAACTCTTCTGCAGTTTTGGAGAATATGAAATTAGTCTCTAACCCAGTGCCTCCCTTCTGATCTGTGATCATGGGTCTTCCATTTTGGTCTGTTTCATGCCTGAGCCTGGCTGAGTGTAACAATACTGCTTGGTCCTCACTAACCCCTCCTCCCATTTCTCTGGGGTTTCTAGGTGGTGATGGGTTGGTGGATACTCTGTGGAATGGCTGTGTTCTTGGTTTGTATCCATATTTACTTCCCCTTGACTTCTGATGGAGTGGGGGAGATAGAGAGCCACAGACTTCTCTGCATGAGCCTGCAGGGCCCTCCACAAGCAACCAAGGCGAGGGGTGCAAAGGCTAGGGGGATGCAATCTTTTGCAAGCGAGCGAGCCAAACCATGGGGCGGCCTCAGGGAGAGAGAGCTACAATAGGACCAACTCTGGAGGTGAAGATTACAACTAACTGGCTGGTTTACCTTGGTCTCTTGTATTCAACATTGTTTCTGCGTAATATCAAAAACCGCTTTGAGCCAGGAGCACCCCCTTTCAACTCTCCTTCACGCATCACCCTATGAATAATATTGTACCCAGAAATAACAAAATAATCTAAGGTGATTTCTCCCTCTGCAGAAACACCTTTGAGATACACATATTTTCTGATAATTTCCCTTAGTGAGAAATTCTTTAACGTGCCCGGATATTTCAAGAAAGGTCTAAGGGCATTAATTTTATTATCATCGAGACATAGACTCAATCAAAGAGCAGGACAACAAAGTCCAAAGGGACAGCAGGAAGCGGATCCTGTCAGTTGACAACACAAGCATTGGGAGAGAGAAAGCAACCAGGCATTTGAATAGAGATGTGGATTCATTTTTAATAAAATCCATATAGTCCTCGGCGAAATATTTGTCATTCTTTGGTACTGTTTTCCAAGAGTTCTTTAAAACTTTTTATGGATTTTATATGTTTGCAAATAAAAAAAAAAGCACCATAGAAAAATTTTAATAAAGTAAGATCCCTTGGATGAAAACGGAGCGTCAACAAGAAGCTGTAAAACCAAAAATGCAAAGTATTCTGTAACAAACACCCAGGGGAACCTCCTGTCCCTGTGTGTGAGCAGTATATTTGTGCGTTTCCCGAGAGGTCCAAGATGCTTCGTGAAGGTCAGCCAGGGTAGGGTAGCTTTGGCACAGATAACTGAGATTGACAGCCACAGAAAAAACAAAAACAAAAGTCCCTCACGTGTTTTGTCTTTCCTTTTGTCTGCAGGGGGTGCAGCCTTTATTTTCCCAAATACTTCAGTATATCCTGAAGCTACGCAAAGAGTTACAACTAGGCCAGGTATGCCACCACCCCCGCGTGACCGCTTCACCTGGGGACATCCCACAAGGCTGCTGATCCAGGACCCAAGTCCTGTGATATGAAAGAGCGGATCCCAGATCTGAAATGGGTCCCAGTGTTCTTGCTGTCTCTGTTGGCTCAGAAAGCAAATTCAGCCCAGGTGCTCCATTCAGAGACGGCACCAAAGGTGACGGAGCTTCTGAATTAGGAGCACATTAGCCGTCCCCAGTCGCTCTTGGAGGACAGGTGGGGAAAGGAGAGCTTCTCAGTTCGTGGCAGGGCTGATGTTCAACCAGTCCTTTCTCCCAACAATGGCGCAAAGCAAGGGAACCAGTAACGACCCGTTCCCAGCTTGCCACAAGAAAGCCAGGTCGCAGGGCACAAACCTCTAATAGTATTTATGTTGAGTCATACTTCAGGCCTTTCTGGGTAATACAATCAAGTAATTAACATGGGTGTCATTCATGCGCAAATAAATGTTTATGCCGTGCCCCGAAGTGCCAAACACCGCCCATGTTAGACTCGGTAAATATAAAGATGAACGAACCAAACTCCAAGAAGCTACCTTCTGAAACCTGGGGTGCCCAGGTGGCACCCCACCTGGCTCGTTTGCTGCGTGGCTCCTCTGGTCTCACGGTGGAGGGGCTCAGTGGGGAGCAAGCTGTGGTATTTAGCCTGGGGTTCTAGATGATGCAGTGGAGCTGCCCAGAGCCAGCGATGGGCATGGAGTTGTGTTGGTGCTGAATGGCTGGAGCTGATGGCTGCTTCTAGGGCAAGGATGGGACCAGGGAGCCTCCCAAGCGAAGGCTGCATCTCAGAGGGGAGGTGGACATCGGCCAGGGGTACGATGTCTCGGAGAGGACATTTCAGACCCAGGCAGTGCACCTACACCTCCCTGATGGCCACCGCAGGCCAGGTTTCTTCCTGGCAGCCTCTCAGCTGGGCAGGAGGATGGCCTCTCTGGCCCCTGCTGGGTCTTCCTCCACCTGGCTGCCCCTCCTTGAATCCTGTCACCTGTCTAAGTCACACGAGTCTCAGGTGAATTGGTCCAGAACTCCAGGCTTAGCTGCTCCTTCTTAACAAGGAGGAAGCTGGGAGCCAGAAGCTGGAAAGTGGGGATCTGAAGATTTCTCGGGGTGCTTCTTCCCTCCAGCCCTGTCACTGCTACCACAACTTCCAGCTGCCATTTTTCTTTTCTCTAACCCAAGGGGCGGAAACTGGCTTCTCTGTCCCTGAGAGGCCTGTGAACGGGCCGAGCTGATGTCCCCGCTTCTGTCTGTCACGTGAGAGGTCGTTGAACTGTAGAAGGTTCCAGCCCTGCTTCCCAGTACCTCTCCTCAGTTCATCCTGTCTTGGTCACCTGTTGCTGAGTTGACACCGCAGTCAATCTTTCATTTTTCTCTGCTGAGCTTCCCAAATGCTTCACTTATTCCAGCGCTGCTGGCCGATGTCTGTCCAGCACTGTGCCAGCGCAGCCCCGGCTCCAGGTCGGCCAGAGCTGTTGGGATCGGCGCATATCCCCACCCCTGCCTTTCCCTCCTCTGCCCACACCCAGTCCTCTTCACTTGCTTGCTCCCAGGAGGTTTCCACATTTTCCCGATTTAAAACACACCTGCTTCTACTACCAGCCCTGCGTGGAAGTAGCATGTGGATGGGTCCCTCATATAACAGCATTAGCACCCAGACACCTCAGTGACCGTCTATGGTTACACGGTCCCTATTTTACATGTCTCCCTCTGTTTCTCGAGTTGTGACAGTTATGACTGGCAGAAACCCTTTCTCATCTTCCCTGTAAGCATCTTCCGCCCTCAGTGAATCCACTCCTTTTGAAGCCGGTAGACCCCCTTGAGGTCTCAGGGTAAAGTGGAGAGGGACAGTCTTGGGAGCCAGCGTACGGCCTCCAGCTGCACCAGCTGCGCATCCTCTGAGGAGCAGGCCATGAGGCAGAGCTCGGTCCCAATCCCACACAAGGATGCTGGTCCCTAGACAGACCCTCGCTTCCTCCATCCCTATGACCACCTGCATGGTGTGACACGATCCAGGGACCTTAAGGAGAGAGAAGAGACTGCAGCTTTGACTGCTGCGTTGAAGCCATGTTCTTTGGGTGTTAGTCATCTATTGGGACCCATTATCTGGGACAGCTTGGCCTGGCCAGGTGCAATGAGACAATTTAGCACCACCAGCTACTGCACAGCTGCGTGCTCTGTGACTCCTGGACATGCCACACATTGGGGCTTCCTCCTAGCTCTAGCAGAACCACAGGGCTTGTGCACATAAGCCAGAGGGAAAACAAATGGCCTCTGTCTCCACATCTTTGACATGGGATCTTAGAAGCTTTAGGAAGATCTCCGTTCAGTAGACAGACAAGAGAGATCAGTTTAAGTGCTGACGCTCACTGCCTCACATTTCATAGGGGTTTATCGATTGGTTCTGGTCAGCAGCTCTTGGCCTACTAATTAAGTCTTCCTCACTAGCATCCAAGAACAGAAAGAAAGCAAGTTTTTACTCATTTCCTCTGCCCCTGGGGGGGGGGGGAGTGCCCAGGGAGGGAGACACCACAGCTGTAATAAACAGAGACCCAAATCCTTTCACAGGGGAGGGCGGAGGGCTGGAGGCATATCAGGCTTGGTGGAGCTTAACCCTCCTGGGCCAGACAGGCAGGATATGATTCTAATTCTCTGATTCGCTGAAGTGTCAGGGAAGGTGTGGTGGGAGGAGCTTGGCCCAGAATCCATAACCAACCCAATCCTAGCTCTTCAGGAGTCCACAGAGGTGCTGGGGTGGGGCAGTCACCACCAGCCAGGCTCCCGGATCTGCCTCTAAACCAGACTCTGGTCTGCCTCAGTCTGCCTCACACACCGCTGCCACCCAACTGCTGCCGGGGAAATCGGCTTTACAAAGTTCAGTTTTACAATAGTTTTCTACCGATGAAACAATCCGCGTGCGCGCCAAAAAGCAGCCCTTGCAGGCACAGGAACTTCTGCCAAGTGGATGAGTGCATAACCTTGAAGAGTGTGTTGAAGTGAAGTGTAAAAATGCCTTCGTATTTGAAGCGCTATGCTCAGCTCTCATTAAAGAGGCAGGGGAGTGACTGGGGGGGGACAAACTTTTCCAACAGCCACGAGTGTAATTGCTCAAAAGTGGCTTGCTTAGAAGATCACACAGCTGCTGCCAAGGCTGACTGGATGTCCGTCCTCCCTTCAACTCCAAGGTCAGCGGCACTTCCCAAGGTCACATCCTGCGGGAGGGGCTGGGTGCCCCTTGCACGGGACCAGTAGCTGATAAGGAAGCATTGGCAGAGAATGTCATAAAGGAAAACAAAAGCCTGCTTATCTACCACGGCCGTGTGTTTATGAACACCATCATCAGTGTCCACGCAAACACCTCCAACTCTTGGCTGCCAGTTAGACTCCCATTTGGTATGGTTTAGGTCCTGACGTTTCCAAAGGCGAGTGGGACCTGGCTACTCATCCGTGGACAGAGTTTCTGAAAGAGTTTCAAAATATTTTGGTAGTCTGAGTTGGGTGTTGAATTTTTTTCCCAGTGCTATTTTACCCATGATATGTTCTATTCAAGACAGATCCTGGCAAATCTTCCATTTGTGTACTCAGACTTAGGTCTAAGTTCTCTAGGATGCTTAGGCATGTAGAACACCTGTATGGGCATGGTCTAGATGGCACATCTGAAATCATTATCTGTAAGAACATAGATTGTTAGAGGGAGATTGCTAGAGCCAGATTTCTCAAGCTTCAGAGAGGACCCAGCACCTCAAATTTGTTATTTTAACTGACTCTGACTGTCTGGGTGCGGGATGAAAATTTGCATTTCTAACAAACTCCTAAATATTGCTGAGGATGCTGGCTCACAGACTGCCCTTTGAGAAATGGGGACCTAGGACATCCTTCTGGAGCACGCTGCTTTCCCTGGTGAGAAGCGGAACCTTTGTGTGTCTGTCTGCTCCTGAGTTAGGGTAGATGATGTTAGAAAAGCCTGGCTCGTAGATTCTTACTTCTCTTCAGACAATGCTCACATTGAAATTCTGCTTAACAAAAATTTTTCCCCTTAGCAGGGGGGAAAAAGCAACTGGCGGAGAATCCACATGCAGAATATGCTCCCAGAGACTTGCTGAAACGTAGATGTAAATGGATAGCAGCGGCAGATCTAATTCCCACGTGTAATCCCAACTGCAGAAAAGCAGAACTCCTAGAAGCCGGGTGTGGGGGGCAGCCGAGAGGGAGCTCTGGCAGAGCTGGAATTCTCTAGAATTCTCTTAACCTATCGAGGCCAGGGAGGGTAGGATTTCAAAGACCACCCAAGTTGCTGTGCTCACAGCCAAACAGACCAAATAAATTAAGGCCATCTTGTGTTGAATTTCACATTGCATATCATTTCTATTCTCATTGGGATATGAAAATAGGAAGAGACACATATTCTAGAACATAGTCAGGATCTTTGAAGACTGTCCCACCGAGTTGCTACATCTTAAATAAGGTCAGATGACTTCCCCCAAAGCGTCTTTAAAGTAATTGCTTTGCCTGGCTCTCCATGTGAGATTTTCATGGGTATCTCTTGCTATCTGGCATCTGGCACCTGCAGAGTACCTGAGTCTGGCTTTCAGTTGGCTCTGAATGACATTTACTTTGAACTAGACCGATCGATCCAAGAAGTTGTGGTTCTGAAACGTATTTGGCTTGCATGTAAACAGAGATTTCCCTGTGCATGATAATAAGAACAGGCATATATTCCTGGCACATAATTTTGAAAGAGTCTGGAACTCACGCAGAGCTGTGATCACCATGAATGGGACTGAGACTTCCATGTAGAAGCACATTACTGAAGTTTCCCTATGCAAAGTGTGAGGGAGGCTCACGGAGAAGCGTACCATGTAATTAATAGATCAGAAGATGACCCCGAAGGTCATTGTTCCAGAGCTGCGTGGGATTTATTTCATGTGATTCATTTCAGAAAAAGTTCTAAATGTTTGCCTAGAAAAATAAGTGGGGCAGTTAAGACCGACAATATAAATGGATGAGCTTATAAAGGGAAAATGAGGGGAAACCAAGGGTGGGAACCCACAAATAAGAGGAGAAGAAAGCAGCATTCATTTCCCAGGGAGAGAGAGGACAGGAGCCTGGATGACAGCGGGTGGGTTTGGAACGGACCTTATTCAGAACCTGGCTGGCAAGTCCGAGTTGCAGAGTCTGTTTTGGATGGTTTGTTTTCTGATTCATGAAGATGATAAAGGGGTAGGTTCAGACTAGTCCCTGGCTAAGTTCATTCTAAAATATATTTTTAATATGGTTTTAACTTGTAGCTGTAGGGTTATGTTTACAAGAGCAAACTCTGGAACATTCTGGTCATGGAGTTTTTAGATTAACAGAAGAGAGAGTTGTTTATGTATTGGTTTTTGTAGCTTGAACTCAGGTCCTTGTGCTTGCTAGATCAATCTCCTACCACTTGAGACACTGCCCTAAGTCAGAAAGAGAGACATCTATAACAACTAAACATACCAAATCAGACCTTATAAAATAAAACCTAGAAAAATGGGAGAATTTTACATCAACCAAATATGCCAGATTGTAATCTATAACTGGAATTCAAAGGGAGTGAGTTGATGGTCTGAATATTTCTTCCCTCATATCAAATATTCATCTCCTAAACAACAATTTAAAAAAAAAATACAAACATCTATTAGAAAAACTACATCATTGTTTTTTTTGTTTTTAGTCAATTCATTTGTCTTTTCAGATTTACCTTATGAGCCTCCCAGGAGATCGGCCTGGACCACCCAAGGTCACCCCACCCCTCAGTCCAAAGGTACTGAATCAGAGCCACGGATCTGGGTGCCCCACAGAGGAGGGGATGGAGGAAAAAAAAACGTGAAAAGTTTGTCCCACTGTCAGCGAAACACCACTGATTGTACCCACTTTCATAACAGAGAGGACTTGTTGAGAGGCAGGGACCAGGGGATTGTGCTTAGAGGCTAGCCCGGGCAAAAGAGAAGTTTTGAGACTCCATCTCAAAACAACCAAGTGACTGGGCAAGGTGGTGTGCGCCCATCATCCCTGCTATACATGCAGTGTAACAGTCAGGTGCAGTAGCAAGAGCCACCTTCCTCCCCATGACACTGGGAATGGTGAGCAGGAGGAGCCCCACCCAGTCCAGATATAAAGTGAGACCCTACCTTGAAAATAACTAGGAGATGTGGCTCAAGTGGCGGAGTGTCCACAAGCAGGTGCAGGGCCCTGAGTTCAAATCCCCCTGAGGAATGAATATGTGAGGTTCCCCACAGATGAACACATTTCCTGGGATGCTTGTGTATAGAATAAATGATTAATGAGTCCCTTAATTTGGGCTTTGCTTTATTTGGTTATGTCTTATTTTCCTTTATTTATTTTATACCGTGGTTCATTTTACTCTGTTTCATAAGCCATCTCAAATTCTTAAAAAATTATTTTTAGAAGTTGTGGAGTATATTTTCTTTAAAAATAATGGGATACATACTCCTTTTTGCTATAGTATTTAGATTTGAATTCATTAGAAGGGGACAATTTCCCTTCCTCTCAGGTGCTTCTGTTGTAAGTGTGAGACTCTTACATGAACAATCAAAATCCTGTGTGGAATGATCAGTGTGTCCTCAGCAGCAGCGAAGGCCGGTGGTCAGATGGAAGTTACAGCTAACTGTCTTATTGCTTTTGGATTTTCAGCTGCTCAGCCATCTCCTTCCGCAGTGCCCAAAACGGAAGACCAGCGTCCCCAGCTAGGTAGGTCTCAGTGACCAGCATGGACAGTCGTAAGAGAAGACGAGGCCGTGGGGGAATTTCCAAGATGAACTGAGCGCGTTACGTTTTTCTTCTTTATAACAATCTCTGTGTTAAAGATGGACCAACCTATTAGTCTGCACTAAAACGCTTCTGGACCGTGTGTCCGGTGTGGTCCCAGGCTGCCCTGTTGATATCCTCGGTTGAGCTGGAGGCTTTGAGCAGAACTCTCCACCTTGTGGTTCTATGCCACCAGGAAGGCAGAGCGGTGGTTCTGGGCTGGGGGGTGGGGGGGGATGTTTCCAGCTAAGGAATCTGAAGTCACCTCATGCTGAGCCCAAACGCTGTCCTCGGAGTTTGACTTCTCTCCTTTCTGCTTGCAGATCCTTACCAGATTCTGGGACCGACCAGTAGCCGCCTTGCGAACCCAGGTAAGGCCGTGCTAGCGAGCCTGTGTTCACACTGCAGCCATTTGTGTTTGGAAAGACCATTTTGTCCTGGTACACACATCCTTCAAGGGAACAATTTTATTTACTTGTAGGTCTCACTGGGTTGTCCTAGTCAAAAGATACTAATAGTAACAACAAACAAAAAAGGAGAGGATCCGATTATCCTTTAAGATTTTAGCTTCAACAAAGAGCATGTGTAGCCTCCTTGTGGAGTGAAAACTTTCCAGGGCTGCCGACAGGAAGCCCTGGGGACTGGGTGCCATGAGACAGATCATGCTCACAGCTGGAAGTCTGAGTCAGGGCGTCATGGCAGTGGTCCTGATGGGGGAGGGATGGGTCCCTTCTCAGCCCCCCCCTTCCACTTGCAGATGACTGGCGTCTCCTTAGGTCCCCTTCCATCACTTCTCTGTGTATGTATATCCTCTGTCTGTAAGGACACCAATCACATCAGAATAGGGCCCAGCCCACTTCCTCCTCCTCTTCCTCCTCCTCCTCCTCCTCCTCCTTCTCCTCCTCCTCCTCCTTGTCCTGAGGTTTGAACTCAGGGTCTGGGCACTTTCCCTAAGCTCAAGACTAGTGCTCTATCACTTGAACCACAGCTCTACTTCCAGCTTTTCCAGTGGTAAATTAGAGATAAGTGTCTCATGGATTTTCCTTCCCCAGGGCTGGCTTTGAACTATGATCCTCAGCATCTCAGTGTCCTGAGTAACTAGGATGCCAGGCATGAGCCACCAGCACCAGGCTTCAGCCTGTGACTTCTGTAAAGACCCTGATCAGGTCAGACCTTCAACACAGGAGTCCCAGGGGGACACATTCTTTTGGAAAGGAGAATCATAGCAATCTTAAGACTTCACATTAGGCCCATCTTTGACAGTCTGTGTTTGAATTGAGATGCTGGGAGAAAGCACAGGGTCTTCATTGGTCTGTTCGTAGCCCATTCCTGACCAGGGGCCAGCCCTCACCTGTCCTTACGTGGCTGTGCCAACCGAACTGTCCTATTTGTATTCAAATCAGAAGCAGGCGTGCTGGGCCTCCTGCAGACATGCTGAGCATATGCTGCAGGTACCGGACCAAGATGCCACAGTCACATTGCCAGTACAAGCTGGAATGTGTGCGTTCTTCACATCAGGCCAAACCAGGGAGCCCAACCCCCCCCCCCCCCCCCCCCCGTCAGATTCAGTCTGCAGACATCCCCACAAAAGGAACCATACTTCGAGAACACGAAAAATCCTTGCTGAGTGACTTTGTCTTTGACACAAGAAGTTGGTATGATAATTAATTCAAGAAATAGGTTTTCAGCTGCAGAACAAGGAGAGAGAATTGTTTTCTCTTTCACTCCATTAATCCAGGCAGAGAATAGGTACACAGCATTTATTCGTTGGGGATGTGCATGGCTGAGGGGTCTCAGCCTTGGCCCTGAGGAGTAGCCACCTCCTTGGGTAGTTGTAATGCTCTGTAGTCCACAGAGCCCCAGCTCTTCTCCTTTATATGGCATCTGACTGGTGGCCAAGTCTCCCAGAGCTGCCATTTGCAAACTGTCTCATAGCCATTCTTTTTGTTGTTGTTCATCATGAGGCTTGAAGTCAGGGCCTGGGTGCTGTCCCTGAACTTTTTCATTCAAGACTAGTGCTCTATCACTGTAAGCTACAGCTCCACTTCCAATTTCCAGCTGGTTCATTGGAGATAAGAGTCTCCTGGGCTTTCCCGCCTGGGCTGGCTTTGAACTATGACCCTCAGACTCAGCCTCCTGAGTAGGCAAAATTGCAGGTGTAAGCCACCGGTGCCCAGCTATCTCATCACCGTTCTAATAAATAGAATGACCATGTTTTGTGATTATGATGAGTCCTCCCTCAGGAAGACTAGTCTGTTGGATGAGGATAGTTTAGAAAGAAGAGAAGCTGGGAGCCTCAGTGGAGTAATAATCTGATATCTCTCTCCCATGTGATGTTCCCTGTAGAACGTGTTCATGCCTGTGGTCCCCTCTATACCTCATATCTCCATTCCCTAGAAGAGGAATCAGAGGCGCCAAGAAGTTAAATAACTTTCCCTTGAGTCACATGGCCAAAAATCGGAGTGTTTCCAGAGTGTGCCAGCTAAGTTTGAAGGGACGATTTGGGAAATGGGGAGCATCAGAAAGAAAGGGAGGTTCCACTCAAATGAGCAACTGTGAGGGCTCAGGAGAGAAGCTGTACTGAACAAGACCACGTGGGCCTTTTAACTCACACACACACACACACACACACACACACACACACACACACACACACACACACACACACACGCTGTCTGCCACGTGGCGGGTGTTTGAGTGCAGGGCTCCTGCGTGGCTTGTTTGGAGATGTGGGACCAGAGGAAAGCTACTGGCCGTCAGCAAGGCGGGCACAGCGGGCCCTCCTGGTGCCCTGTGAAGGCCCCCAACAGTGTCTGGGCATGGCAGGCCACAACCCTGGCATCCCGAGCAGAGTACGCATGTCGTACCATTGGTGCCATTCACCGGGTCCTGGGCAGCCGGCAGCAGGAACCTTTGGTTTGCGGCCCAGTGGTTGCAAGGGGGAGATGACAAGGAAGGAGACCCCTGTCCCTGCACCTCCTTTTCCTGACGGTCCTCCGCTTGCACCAGGGCAGGTGCTCCTTTTCCATCAAACTTCTTTCTTGTATTCTCTGACCTGTTCGTTCTGCCTCAATTACACATTTCTGTTTGCTCTTCCTACGAAGAAATCTCCTTCATCATCTTAAATGGACAGCTCTTGTCACATCCTAGGAGCGCCCTGGGTTTACCAACAGTAAGCACTTCAGCATCCCCACCCCAAACACTCCCGTGACGTGCCTTTGGGGTACCTTTTCTCCTGCTGAGAAAAATCATCCCTTAATTCTGACGTCATCGGTCTGTTCCAAAGCATCAGCCACACCCTTGCGCTCGGTGAGAGGGCAGTGCCGGCTACCTTTGCTTACCGAGTTTCTCTGGGTGGGTCAGAAGTTAGCCAAGCCCCCTTTAAGATTTCTTAAATCCTCTAGAATCCCTTAGAATCCTGTTCTATATTAGAATCCTATTCTGTATTCTAACATGAATCTCACCACATATTGAATGTGACTGTTTGGGAAGTAAAGTAAGAGCTCAATAAATCACTTGAATTTTGTGGCCAAGAATAACTGGCTTCATTTGCTATGGATGATGATTTCTCATCATGACTGTGTGAGAAGGTGGCCGTATGTACTGCCTACACAGGAGACTCGGTCGTGAACACCGAATTCCGCAGCGAACATTACTTTTTAGAACAGGTTAGCCAAGCAGTCGCTGAATGACTGCATTTGTAGCCTCAGCGTTGGCCGCAGTTTGGGGAGCTGGTGAATTTGTTTACAAACTTGTCACTTCCTGGGATGGAATCAGCTCCTCTCTCCTGTGAGCTGTGAGTTTGGGGTTGTGACTTTAAGTCTTTCACATCGAAGCAAGAGAGTAGGAGACGGCTTTCTCCTCTGCTGGTCCCCCTCCCCGCATTTACAGGGGAGCTGGGTGAGGAGCAGGTCCCTAGGAAGCCAGCCCCAGTGTGGGTGCAGACTTCCAGGCTTGATCCTGGCTGCTTGGGCGGGTCTGTGCATCCACACAGGAACTGTGGAATTGCTCTCTGCATGAGAGGAAGTTGACACTGAATATTTATTTTCAAACAACTGTATATGTTTACAGCGAAGCAGATGTTAGACTGTGAAGTTAAAAAAAAAAAAAGCCCACGTTTCTCCGTATTCCCGGGTCATCTATGGAATCTTTTTCTCCAGTTTTAATTCTTTAGTTACAACATATATACAAAAACCATATGGTGCCGTTGTGTCACTCTTTGTATTCCTAAGTGTATATTAGCACGGTGTTGGGGGCAGCGGAACTTGATTGAGAACAGTTCCTATACAGGGTTCCACCAAAGCTAAGGCTTCCATCACGATAAGCTACAAGCTGTTAATCTATTTCAAATGTGTTGCTAGACTGAAAACGATCCTTTTCCAGAACATACTGGGACCCGGCTGACCTTTCTCATGAGGCTGGTGTATGGGTGAATTCACAAACATCCCCTTCCATCCTGGAAACAAGGGTTTATGACTCGGACAATTTACAGGGATCTAGTGGGACTGACCAACAGAGAGCAGACTTATAATTGAATTTTACATTACATCACTTCCCCTAGAAGTGACTCTAATCATCTTATTCACATTGATTGATATGCTTAAAAGGTCATCTATTTTGCTATCAAGCTCAAGGCAGTACTCTAGTGGAGTTTAGGATAGACAGACTTGCCATTTAGCCCTTGTAAACTTTCCAAAACTAGGACCACATGGCTTAACTTCTAGTCTTCCATATTACCAGTATTCTCTCCACACTGTGTTCTTCAGGGAGCTGTAAGTCAACCAAAAGCAAGGTGGCATGGTGGCTGAAGGAAATGCATAGGCTTTTCTTGAACAAATAGAGAATGGAGGAAGGAAGGAAGGAAGGAAGGAAGGAAGGAAGGAAGGAAGGAAGGAAGGAAGGGAGGGAGGGAGGGAGGGAGGGAGGGAGGGAGGGAGAGAGGAAAGGAGGAGGGAATTGGGAGGCAGGGTGGGAGGGAAAGGAGAGAGAGAGAGAAAGCTCTCTCTATGGTCTGGTGGGACTGAGGAACATTCTAGCTCAGACATGGCTTCTTGTTGGGGTCTCCTTTGGAAACAGGCCTTGGGGCGCAGGGGTGACACAGGGACCCCATGGAGTCCTTTGCCTCAAGACCAGAAATGGTGATCTGATTCGCAATGGAGCCTGTTTCTTTCTGAGCTTCCTCATTTTGAATGGGTTGCTTCTGTTAGGAAAAGTTTGGGCCAAATTATTCTCTGAGCGCCAACAAAAGGTTATGTCGGAAAGAACAGCCCTGACTTCCACCCTCTGTTATTTTCCACACACTTTCAGATACTCATTTCCTACATCAGACGTTTCATGGCTTTGCTCACCCTCGCCAATCTAAATGGTATTAAGTCACTCTTGCCATGCCCACCCCGGGTGTTCCTGCCTCATTCTGTAGGAAACACGAGCACTTTGTCCCCCCAAAAACACCATCCTGGCCTGGCTGTTGTTTGAAGTCATAAACAGAAGCAGCAGACCATGGCCCCTTCGCCATGGAGAACGTGGCTCTGTTAGCTGACCATTGCCTCCGGTCGCATCTCCTAGATGCTGAACCAGAGGACTTGCGTGAGTGCTTCCTTCAAGTGATCTTTCTGGGAAGGCAGGCATGAGGAAGTAGTTCAGGGCAGGGGGAAAACTAGGGAAGCTTCCAGACTTCCAAACGCTACCTTCGAGTAGCTCCCACAGGGAGCCCCAGGCAGCGTCCACGTAACACCTGTCCAGCCAAGGGCAGTAGTACCCGGGCAGCTGGGTGACGAGGGGCAGCCTGGCCCCTGGAATCTGGCAGTGAACCGGGAGCGGCCACTGCTGCCTTGAGAAAGGGCGTCACTCAGCCTGTGCCCGCGGTGCTCACGCCGCTCACGCTGCTGCTCCCTGTGCTTCTGTTCTGTGCTCACGGTGCTCACAGTGCTCTCTGTCCCCCGCCTTCTCTCCAGGGAGCGGCCAGATCCAGCTGTGGCAGTTTCTCCTGGAGCTCCTGTCTGACAGCTCCAACTCCAACTGCATCACCTGGGAAGGCACCAACGGGGAGTTCAAGATGACCGACCCCGACGAGGTGGCCCGGCGCTGGGGCGAGCGCAAGAGCAAGCCCAACATGAACTACGATAAACTCAGCCGCGCCCTGCGCTACTACTACGACAAGAACATCATGACCAAGGTGCACGGGAAGCGCTACGCCTACAAGTTTGACTTCCACGGCATCGCCCAGGCGCTCCAGCCGCACCCCCCGGAATCGTCTCTGTACAAGTACCCCTCCGACCTCCCGTACATGGGCTCCTACCACGCCCACCCGCAGAAGATGAACTTCGTGGCTCCCCACCCCCCCGCACTCCCCGTCACCTCCTCCAGCTTCTTTGCTGCCCCGAACCCATACTGGAATTCACCCACGGGTGGCATCTACCCAAACACTAGGCTCCCAGCCAGCCATATGCCCTCTCATCTGGGCTCTTACTACTAACGGCCCTCCGGAGGCCTAGCCCAACAACCTGCAGTCACCCATACATTGCCACGAACTCGACCAGAGACCACGAATCTAAAGTGCCTCAAGAGAAATGAACAAAAGCTTGTCTGGGGCTGGGGAAGGAAGCCAGGGAGAGACCCAAAGACTTACAGAGGGGGACAGTGACTTACGAATTACTACAGGAAAGAAAAAGGCTTCTCAAGATGCCATCTATCTGGACAGACGATCTGCGGCCCAATCTTGTCAAAGACATTGTATGTAGAAGCATGAAGTCATAAGGACAAGTGCCAAAAAGAAAAGTAGCCTTAAGTAGTGTATAAACAGTAGAGTTCGGGACCCTGCTCCTACAAATTGGGCTTCAACAAAAGCAATAGATGTGACACAGTCTTGGCCTAATATACCCAAGGAAAACTACCTGTACTTTATGATAGAAACATATCAAAACCAAAGTCGAACAACAGGATGGAAGAAAGGGAGGGAATGAAAGAGGGAGAGAGAGAGAGAGAGACAGAAAGATAGACCGAGCAACTAGGGCACCTTAACAGATGTTCGCCACGGAACATCTTGGGTTGATGTTTTGGTTCAGTCAGACACCTCGCAGTTGATGGAAGGCGCCTCGCTGTCTCACACTGTGAAGACAGCCCAAAGTTTCCATCTCCTAGACAGTATTACAGGAGGACAAGCCAAACGGTGGGCTGGGGATGTGGACAGAGTGAGTGTGAGTGTGGATGAAGGGATGGAGGAAGAAGGAGAGGGCACCGAGGAAGAGGAGGAGGCAAGGGCTGGGGAAGAAACTTCCTGAGCAGTGAAGTCTGGATTTCGGACATGTTGTAAGGGCAGAGTTAGGAGGGTGGACGCTGCACGCCTCATGGACAGAGGGAGGGAGTAGAATTCAGAACCCCAAATACACATCTCTTTCTTTGATTGTCAAAGAAAACTTTAACTGGAATTGTCTGATATTTAAAAGAAACGTTCAGGACCTCAGCACTGGCGGGGGGAGGGGGGTGTTCCCTCCACCAGGTCAGGTAAAAGGGGGCCCAGTGGCCACCATCATCACAGATCTACACAGGCATTGTGGGTAGGCAGGCTCCAGTTTTCCTCTTCGAGTCGCAAACGCTGTGCGTTTGTCAGAATGAAGTGTTCAAGTCAATGGTTTGTTCTTGTTTATTTTTTCCTTTTTTATATAATTATTATATAACTTATGCATTTATACACTACGAGTTGATCTCGGCCAGCCAAAGACACACCACACAAAAAGAGACAATCCATGATCTAATGTGGCCTTGAATTTTAACTCTGTAATGCTTAATGTTTACAATATGAAGTTACTAGTTCTTTAGAATGCAGAATGTATGTAATAAAAATAAGCTTGGCCTAGCATGGCGTTATCAGATTGACACGAGTCTGCATTTGCACTTTCTTCAGAACAAATTTGCCTTGTAGAAACTTGTGCTTCGTGGTGTGGATTTTTGGTGTTATAATCTTACTTTATCCAAGAACATATATAAGGAGAACCATAAAAAACAGAATGCCGGACACACAATGTTGGCATCTCCCAGCCCCTTAGCCCTTTCTGTCTTCTAGTTCCTTCTACAACTGGAAGACTAATAGAATCACCTTGGAGCCTCTAGATTTATTCCTAGAAGGGAAAGAGACCCGTAAAGCTGGGCTTTTAACTGAGAAATTCCATGTCTGCGCCGGTCACAAATCACCTTTATTCTTTCCAAGATCATAAAACATGTGATGAGTAGGGAGCCTGCCCTGGCTCTTAATACAAGCTATGTTATTATTATTGGTGGATAAATCACCTGGACAGCTGTCATTTCTCACCAGAGAGCATCATGGGTCAGCAAAGCGTGCCATCTCTCTTTTTTCTGAAACCTGGCCAGCCAGCCACTGTTGTTCCGACTTTTAGACCAGAATGATCAGGGAAGTCTGGTGCGGGAGTCCACAGCCCTGAGCTGAGTCCCTAGCTCTCCTTGAACACATGGTGGGGTCTGAGACCCAGAGCCCATCACCCTGGTTGTCTTTTCTCTCCCATGGGTCCTAAGCACTGCCACCCTGGCTGCAGTGACGTGATTGAAGAGCTGTGACTCCAGTCCCCTGCGAGAAGGGGCAAACGTGAGCTGCTTCTGAGCCTGCAAAGGTGTCTACACTGCCCATTTCACAGCTGCTTCACAACTCATTCCGCACTTGGTAATCCTCTTGCCGTGATTAAATGCACTTGCCAAACCTCAGTACCTTGGGTGTTTTGGCAACGTTCCATAAACTCAGTAGGATACGATTACCCAAGCTTCAGCTGCCCCTCATTACTGAGATTGAAAGGGGCCTGGTCATCTATCACCCGGCAGAGCCTGGGAATGACACAGAGTGCCTGGATCTCCTTAGGAGGAAAGAGAGCAAGCTGAGCTGGCAGGCAGGGCCGGGCAGGGTGTGGCCTGTCCACCCCTGTGGGTTTGAAGGGAAAAGAACAGTCGTTTTGATTTTGACCTCGAAAGTAAGGCATAGCGCCATTCTGCATAGACGCCACGTACACTGACTGGGAGAGCAACTCAGGGGTCTCTTTGGGGACTGTATTATAAGCAACATAACAAAAACACGCTGGGATGATTATATTCCATACTAACAGATGTTTTCAGTTAGATTTCTCATGCCAGGTTATTAGCAAGTATAAGGAGAGGCTTGGGCCACTGAGGTAATGTTCAATCACAAGATCACTCTGAGTTCCCTGCAATAAATAATTCTAAAGTTGAGTGGAAATAGTATCCGTGTCGGTGTCTGCTCCCGTTCTCATCTAATTCCAGAGTGCTCACAGGCCATCATTTTCCCAGCGATCTGGCTCTTCACCCCTCATCTCCTGACTCATCCTCCTCTCCCCACCCAACCCCGCACAGAGCACCTCAGTTGGACGGAGAGGAGTTTTCTCTTCTGAAACTGTCCTTGGGGCTCTGGGCTTGAATTCCTCCCAAATCTCAGCCAAGGCTTCTATTTATGTCATCCAACCTGGCGCCTTCATTCCATGTGGGGGCAGACAACGTTCATAATCTTTTCCATGTAACTTGCAGGACAACAGAGAAATACTTCCATCTCTACAGAGAGAAAGGCAAGTGTTGAGAGAAACCACCTCCAGTGCCCAGGGTTTAAACCGATTCACTTCCAGAGCCTGGACTTCTCACGTCTCGGCTGGTCTTCGAGGATGACCAATCAAGTGTCCTCCCTCTAACTCAGCTCTGCAGGCTGAGGCTGCAGAAGCCCAGTTCTTCCAGATGACCAGGAGGGAAGCAGAGCCACCTCTCATTTCCCCTGCCCCTCGCACAGCAGCTGGCTGGGAAGCCCGGCCACTGGAAACTCATGTGTGCCCAGAGCACTCCCCGTGGACAAGGCCAGCAGCAGGGTTGTGGCCTGTGACAGGGGAGCGACCCTGCACCCTGCCCCGTGGCCTGATGCTGCTCTGAGAGAAGCAGAGGTCTTCTCAGCTCCCGCAGGTCCTGGCTCCAGGAATTCCTCCCTTGCTGTGTTCAGGAAGCAGGCTGATAAACACATAAACAGCTCCTTAGTGGGAGAATAAAGCTTAAGGCTGCAGTCCTGGGGTGCCAAGGCCTACAGCCTTTCACTAACGTGATTGGGCAGGCACAGGGCAAGGAGCTACTCTCAGGCACAGAGACTGGAACCAATGGCTGTCAGTCAAGGGAGGTCCCGCCTCTTCCTATAGAAGCACAGAAGAGGGGTAGAGAGATCCAAGGTGAGTGCCTTAAAAACCCCCTTCCTGCCTCACCCATGGCTCATGCCTGTAACCCTTGTTACTCAAGAGGCTGATCTGAGGATCACAGTTTGAAGTCAGCCTAAGCAGGAAAGTCTGTGAGATTCTTATCCCCAATGGACTACCAAAAAAGCTGGTAGAGTACTAGCCTGGAGATAAAAGCTCACAGACAGTGTCCAGGCCCTGAGTTCAAGCCCATGATTGCACACACACACACACCACACATGCATACACACTCACTGTCATCATCTAGTCTGTGTCTCTACCCCGTCATGTTCATCTGGCTCTGGCACTGTTGCATTCACGAGTGGCCTGTTCAAGGGTCCCTGGGCTTCAACCCTGCCACGGCCATGTTCTTGTCAATCCAACTTCAATTAAGAAGAAATGCCAACAGGAAAACCTCTTTGACTTTCCAGTAGCTTCATGTGCATCTCAACTGTTAGCTGGTGTGTGCCTGTCATCCCAGCCACGTGGGGGGCCAACCAGGACAAAAAACATTCCTTGATATGACATCTCAATATTAAAAGCTGAGCTCGGTGACTCATGTGTTTCATCCCAGCCATTACAAGAAATGGAGAGAAGAGGAAGGGTCAAAGGTCAGGAGGGGAGAGCATCAGAAGGGAGGGGAGAGAAAGAGAGAGGAAAGGAGGGGAGAGGAGAAGGAAGGGGAGGGGAAGAGGAGAGGAGAGAGCAGAAGGGGGAAGGGTGAGGGGAGAAGAGGGGAAGAAGGGGGGAGAAGAGGTGGAAAGGGGAAGAGAAGGAGGGAAAGGGAGGGGAGGGTTAGAGATGGAAGGAGAGAAAAGGGACATTTGGATCTTTTAAGGATCCCTAGTGTTTCTCCCTCCCTTTGGGTGATTTTTTTTTTTTACTTACCCAAGATGTGTGTGCATGTGTGTGTGCAGTTTGTAGGTGAGTTATCTTCCAGTTCCCTCTTCTAAACAATACAGAGACAGACCCAGGCAGGTTTGGCTGCTGCTGCAAGCCTGCAACGTCACCCTGCTCCTGGCAGGTGGGCACAATTCCTGCCCCTTCCAGGGGCTGCCAGGGGTTCCTTGTGCCCGGAAGCACGGCCTGTCTGCCAGGCCCTGGTGGTTCGCTGGTGCTTACTGTGGGCACATCCGATCATCTTCCCTCGGAGGCCAGGAGCACAGCACACCACACCTCACACGGTCAGCGTGGCCCGGGCCCTGCCACACCAGCCCTCAGCTCCGCCTGGCCTGGCCTGACCCGTGCCCTGTGGCGCCAGGAACGCCTTCCTCAGACCTCTACAGAGACCTCAGTCCCGCTTCTGACCCCTGACCCCCAGAGATCCCCAGACAATTAAGGGCCCTGTGTGGTTTCTACCCATGCCACATCGTTTTGGGGGAAATGGATCAAACAGGTTCATAGGGAAAAACACCCATTGCTGTCTCTGGACTGGGCCTGTGCCTTACCTCCTCCCTCCCTTGCTTTACACTGTACTGGGCACTCCACATGTCAGGGGCTCCCTCCCCTGCTCCAGAAATGTCTGCCGCCCTTCCATGGCTTTGACTCA